GTTTTTCTGCGCTTCGGTTCTAGTGAACAGTTTTATTAAATTGTGATTTAAGTTAAGTATTTAATTGCAAAAATGTGTTTTGTTAAGTGTTTACAGTGTATTCATTTAAGTTGCGATGTCAATAAATATAATCCATCATTTGTGATGATGTGCAAGCATATCAAATAAAAAGTTATGTGGCCGCCGATGCGCCGCCAGCGAAGTTTGTCAATATGGCGGCGCATGGGCAAAGAAAAAGCCCTTCGGCTAGCGTGATTGGTGAAAAGTTAAAAGTGCTAAAATATTTTTGAGTGCATATAAAGATACATAAGTTAACACATACATATTTATGTACAATGTCTGTATGTACATAACTACCTTTCGATGGTTCTTTGCAATAACGACACAACTCAAAACTTAAAAAAAACCAACTACAGAATAATGTTGCCAGATTTTGTTTTCCAGCCATACGGGGCAAATGCATAATTTGTCCCAAAAATTTACAAAACTTTAACGGGACAAATAAGAGATTAAGGATTTGCTTATGACACATGTCTCTAATAATTGCTAAATCTTTATGACAGATTTATAAATATTTAGTAAGGATTAGACATAGATAAGACAAGTATTAGAGACATGCATCAATGTTTATTAGTTGGGTTTTTTTAGTTTTGAGTTGTGCTGTTGTTCGCCGAGGGCCATCGTTCATAAGTACATATGTATGTATGTATGCGCGTATATATTTATGTATGTATGCTTGTGTTCATTAACATATTGGCTGCATTTCTTTATTCATTCTGAACGTTTGGAAAGAGCTTTTTTGTTTATTTATTCTTTAGAACGTTCCTGTTGATATGTTGACGTATATTTCAAACGCATTCTGTTTATTCCGGCTGTGAAATGGGATTATCCGGAATGTATAAAGAAACGCAGCCATAGAGTACTTATAAATTTATATACGTACATATGAACATACATACTTACTTTAATATGGACGTACTGATGAGGTATCGCATTTCTACGCTTCTCAATTGCCTTTTAATTTGGCCAAAGGAACGGGTGAGTCCCAGGAAATACATATTTTATATTTTTTTACATTTTTATTTGCCCTTCAGTCGACATCCATTTTGTAATAGTTCCTTTAACTTATAAAATACTTTGAATTGAAGTTAGTTTTTTAACCGGTGGTAGTATAAAAAAACTCAGTCTATATGACAGGTGCCACGGGGCCTTTTCCAAGAACCCAAATATTTTCCACGGGTGTAGTATTGATTTCATATATCTCCATACCAAGTTCCAGTGCTCTACCAGAAATACTTCCAGAGGTATGCAGTATGAAAAAATCTTTTAAATTGGACTAAATTACACCAGTTTGCGAAATTTCATTAAGATCGGTTGAGTAGTTAAAGTGTGAAAGCGTAACAAACAACCCTTTCGCATTTATATCAGCAAGGATTATCCAGTACTGACAATTAAAATAATTTTTGGAGGTGAGCAGTTTTTACACAGACCCAAATACACAAACATAAAATATTACACAAGGGCTTATGAATTTTTTTGTTGCCCTTGATTGGTTGTGCTCAACGAAAAACCAATATTAAGTAAAAAATTATGCACTGATCACGAGTTTTCTCAAGAAGACCCAGTCGGAAAAGTAGTAATGAATAACATGCGTGACGAATAATATAATGTATTTCTTATGAGTTCTCGATTATATTACTGCTAAGTATGTAATCAGCATACCAATTTATTCAAAAAGTTGCCACAATTTCATATTAAAACACATTAGTTTCTCGATACTAGGTAATGCAAAATAGAATGCCCCACTTTTCTTGGGACATCGCCCCGGGGGGAAAAATGCATTTTCGAATGTGAAAAAGCGTTGTTTTACTGATTATTTTTTCGATTACTATGCATTACATTTTCCCACTGGTAAGTAGCACATTGTCCTTTAACCTAGGATTCTTCTTCTGAAGAATTGAAGAAGTATATTTTATACCCATAAATTTAAAATAAGAACCGCTCAACGGCTACCACAAGAAAACTCGTGTTTTTTTTTATAAAATACGCGAAATTCAGTTACAGTTATAAGCAGCATTTTTTCTCGCATTTGGTAACTGGCACATTTGTTTAATACCTGTAATTTTATTCCTAATAACCTACAAATAAATGTCTGAAAACCCCGAGCTTTAGGGCTGACCACTCAAGAAGTTATACCTTAATAAAATATAGATTTTGTGCGAGTTTCACTAGAAATTTCCCGATTTTCTCGACTTTAGCAAGGAAACTGGTCATTTAATTTTCTTTGAACATTTTCTTTACGACGCAGAAATATTCGTAGAGCATCTGGATGCATTTCTGCACCAAAAATAAAATTTTGAAGACCTTTTCGCTCGCGTCTTTTTGGCGGTTAGATCTCGATACACATACATATGTACGTATGTATGTAGGACTTTAGACCAAAACCAATCCATACAAAGTATGTCGATGAAGCAAATATTACACAGGTTTACAAAAAAAAA